AAACCATCGCTTTTCCTTTCGTTCGCCCCGTTCTGTTCAATAGCGTTCTGCTGACGGAAAATAATATCTGCCATTGCGCTCAGCGTTGACCACGAAACTTTCAATAAACCATGAAAATTATGTTTTTTTTCTCTTGTTTACATAGAGTAATTTTCAATAAAATATGACTCAAATGTAGTAAAATTAAATATGAACATTTATTCGTAGAGGGAAAGATATTCTTTATCTAAAATTGTAAGTATTGTATATTGCGTATGTTCTCTATTTTATTACTCGGAACGTAATTAATTCTTTAAAGTATCGTTAAAATTTTTCTTGAGAGAATTATATTTTTTTAATACTTTAAATATGTTCTATAAAGATAAATACTCAATAAATTATCGTTATTATTACTGAAATGTTTAATGAGATATAAAACAAACCAACTGCTGACAAATATTATATATTAAATATCTTATTTTTTTACTCTGTGTAAGATTCAGAAAAATTGCTTGCGACAAATGTTACTTTTTTTCACTTATTTAGGAAAATTGCCGTTTTCAAATGTGAAAAAAAAAAAGAAAAGAAAAATAAACTCTGAGAAGACACGTGTATAATTTGTCAAATTTAATTTGTTTGAGATATCATTTGTCATCGGTGATAAAAAGGTACCCTAGGAGCGACACCCTTAAAAAACAAAACCGACGAGTTGGCGGCAGTCTAATAGCCGCCCGTCAAACTCTGGATCGAGTAACTTGATATCTTAAAACGAGCATTTGAGGCTGGTGTAATTCCGGTGAGTTCGAATTTCGACGCTTTGATAGAGAAAATAACCCCTGTATTTATTGGCGTCGATATAAACACTGTTGTTAATGTAAAATATATTCTCAATAATATCAATAATTGCTGAAATTGTAAACATAAAATAAAATTTGTGCGGTTCAATGAGAAATCTAAAGATTGCAAAGACGACGATAAGAAAACAAAGGGAACAAAAACGAAAGAAAATAATAAAAATAAATTGAAAATAAATTTTTATTTAAATAAGTTCGATCACACTTATATAAATAATTAAATAATTTCGAGAAATAAGACGTCTATATAAAAAATATAAGATAACAAAAATAATGTCTCATTGTTTCACGCAACCTTATATATATAAAAAAAAGAATATTCGATTGGTCCAACGACAAAAGTTCGATCGCTGATGATCCAAGTATTTCATCTTGATTACATCGTGTGACTAGATCAGGTATAGGAATTGTAAATCGCTTCCAAAATGACTAGACATGCTAATTAATTGTCCTAATTTCACCAAATGTACACTCTATACCGTATGCACTTGTCGAACGCGCATGTTCATACAACCTCCGTTGTTATTGTACACAAATTACACGATGTACACGTAAGTGTATACATAATTCACGTTCGTATCATTCACATACGAATACACTTAGCCTATGACGTCCTTAATATAATCAATAATATATATATATCAATGAACAATATATATATATATATATATATATATATATACTTTGTGTATTTTTGTTTGGTTTATGGGTAAAATTTTGATTTTGCGCTCAATTACGTTACAAAGGCAATGCTGATTTCGGGCATGCGAGCCGTCTAGAACTCCTCATGGAACTCGTTATAATCTCCTTTTGTTCCTCGGCTTCGACATAATTGATAATTATTAGCGACCGTTCAGAACTCGCCAAATTCTGGACATACCGTAGGCAGAGAAAAAAATGTTAATCGGACATCAGTGGAAATGAAGCTAATTTTCATTTTCTTGTAATAAAAAAAAAATCGTTTTGCACGCACAAATCTTTGATGCTCGATAGAAAGGGTGGCAGTTACTTTCGGTTCGAGAAAATTTAATGGAGAATTTATCTATATGTAGAATTTTTCAATAGCCTTATCGTAAAAATAATAAAATATTCGTCTGAATCACTATCATCATAGATATCCGAATCTTCTTCCGGTTTTGCATCTGAGGAGACTGTTATGTCCTTTATATCGAAGCACCCAGAGAAAAATTATTTCGTATTTCGTTACGATCGTTCACTGTTATCCGAAAACGATTGCAGCCACGCGCACGAAAGGACCATCGGCTCCCCGCTCAAATCTGATATCCACCCTGTGTGCGCGGATATCCTCTTTTCTTCGCGACAATAATTAAAATCAGCATCCCTAGCGTGTAGTACGTCGGGTACGGGTCATTAAGTGCACAATAAACGCGTATCTGCATGGGACAGAATTAAGAGCGGGGTCGAGATGGCTGTTTTGCATGGACAGGAGCGTTTCGCGTGTCACCGCGCACGTCGCGCATATGGGGCAAGAAAAATAGGCGAAAACGGGGGTAGTTGGGGGAAGGGTGGGTTGCCATACTCTCCTCTTCCCATTCCTGGATCGTTTCGTTCTCTCGGACTTTTTCGGAAAAATCCCCGCCAAGGTCGCGACCTCTTTCCTCCTCTCTCTGACCTTCTCACCAGAGGGGGGGACCAGATGGTGGAGGCCTGTTTGTCCGGGGCCCGTCTCGCCGGCACGACAATGCCGACTAAAAATTCGTTTTTTTCCCCCGAAAATCGCTCCTTCTCTCTTCAGTCCGGTAGCCGTTTCCTCTTCTTCCTCTTCTCCTTCTCTTTCCTACACCCTCGATAGATTTGTGTAATGGCCGATCGCTTCTCTCCTCCCCTAAGCCATATTAATGCATGCGTGCGCGCATACTAATTCAGACGAATTTTCGGCAACGGCCGGCCATCGATGGTGCGCCCCGTTAAATGACGCGGTTCTCGAATTTCAGCTGCGTAGGGAAAACTTTTATGGTCCCTGAGACAAAAGCCGGCTCGTGCCATGGAAATTGCCTTGAAATAAATCATCGCCGTTTCTGACAGCGCCAAATTCGCATTACGCGACGAGCACGAATGTTGCATTTCAGTGGGAATCGTTTACTCGATCGTGTCATTTATCGTCTCGCACGTCATTCCCTCGAATGACAACAGTTCCACGCGCATAATTTATTTTTTTCATACGTCTCACCGATCGTCGAGATAAATTTTCGGAATTTCACTGCGCATAAAATTAATCATAACGATTACTTATTAATTAAACACACAATTCCGCATCTGCGTAACGTATAGACATATTTGAGTGCTTTTATCTGCGGGGAAAAATTAAAATTAAAATTGCATAAATAACGAGGAACAAAATATAGCAGAATTTTTTTACATACACTTTTTTAGTTTTTTTTTTTTGAAAAAGATATTTGCGATTATTTGCGATATCGCTCGGTAAGTAAAGAGAACGTGATTGCACCGAGTAAGCAGAGTTATTATTTCATGATAGAGCAAGGGCAACGTCGCGTGGGCGGAAATGCATCGTGCATGTTTGTTCATCGCGAAGGGATGGGCGCGCACCGGTGTGCCACGAGAGAGACGTGTTTGGGAAGCTAGGCAGGTCAGGACGGCTGTGCACACCCCGCCATCGAGAGCGCGGTCATTGCGGCCAACAGCTGTCGAGCATTTCGATCGGACTCATGATTGCCTGACCGTTGCCGAAGAAATCGCCAAAAATTTTTTGCAACTGTAGCTCGAAACGGCCTAACAAGATTTTTCCAATTAGACTTTTAATTTCCGAGGAACGACATTCTTACGCGAGCGATTCTTACTCGAGTATTTCCATCGTTTATATTTTTTTTCTCTCTCTTTGGAAATTTTACCGATATAAATAATCTAAAATGTCGACTTTGCGGAAACCATTAAAAAATGTATATTGTGCGTCATAAAATGATCATATCTCTAATGGATTCCGAGATAAATATTTATTGGATATTCCTGTAAAACATAATTTCGCGGTTACCCACGATTTATTTTCGAGGAAAAATCCCGTAGTTGCGTCGTTACGAGGAGAGAGGAGATTGGTTATTACACGATCGAGAGACAAGTGACGGAAACCGCATATGTCATAATCGCAACAGATCGGCCCGTTTGAATACGTCTTATCGAGACCTGCGTGATAACGCGAGCGATGTGTTTCTAAATACGCGAGCGATGTGTTTCTCAAGCTGAAAGGCACGAGGTTCGAAACAGCTTTTAAGGAGGAACTTTTATCTCGGACTCGACGTCCGTTTATCGATTAGACTAGATAACTCTTAGTTAAATAATCCGAGTTGTGCTATATAGCTCTTTCGTGTGTAGCTCATACATATATAAAATCGGGGGCCGTTCGTCGAACATTCGAGTGGATCAAGCTTGGTCGTTTCGCGATCTCCCCCCCTCGCCCGAAGATGACGGGGGGGGGAAGGACCGATCGTTATATTGATATATCCGCGGAACATTTACGAGACGCGCTCTATATCTCATCATTTTATAAGTTAAAAGTTATTTAAAATCTATGTAATGCGTTGGCTGTGTATACGATTGTACTTTTTGTTGCGGGTTATACCGTGTCCACCCCTGAGTTGATTGGCGATTCTCTTTGCACATTGATACCCCAATGCTCCGTTATCATCGTATCAGATCGCGCTCTCGCCCTCTTGACTATACGCATCGACGCGTAATTAGCGGTCGCGTCTAATTAACGTCCGACGGCTTCTCGGTGTCTAGCGTATTCTATGTGTATATGATAAATACTTCTCTAAATCTCTTTCCTATCTCTGAGAAAATGCTCTTCTTATTCACGTAAATATATATATTTATATATAAAATATTGACTAGAACAGTCGCGAAAGAAAAAGTTGATAAGAGACGGTGCGTGTGGATTAATGCCAATCGAACGATTGCACTCGATCTTTTTCTCTTTTTTAGTTCACTTGAGCAGAAGCAAAAACCGATGCTAAAGTAAGAAAAAGAGACGCAATAAAATACAGAGCGAAAAGCGTGAAGGCCTCCCCCGATGTCGAGGCGCCTATCACGTTTAAAATAGGAACTATGTCGATCACCCGTTCGTATTTTAATTAGTTACGAATAAGTATTTACAAGAGTATATAACGAGTATGTTCCCTATACTTAGAACAATAATAACAATCTCATCTCGTTATTTCTTTTTTTTTTTTTTAGTAGATCTTTCCTTCCGAGGGAGATCGTTTCGGTTCATTCGCTCTCGAGAATCATTCCGAAATAAAATGCGTATAAACGAGTCCTATTTCTTGTTGCTTCAGGACGATCTCCCTGTATTTTGAATCGATGACGCGTTACGAAAAGACGAGCAATTTCGTTGCATCGTGGCAACAAGTCTGTTTAGAACAAACACATAATCCACTGGATGGATTATCCTCCTACAAAAAATAATTTTGCACAGTGAAAAAAATAGATTTTGGACCGATCAATGTCCAAGAAAATAGTTTAAAAACATTTTTCTGTTTAGGATAACTATTTTCTTAGATATGGAATGATTTCGAAATCATTTTTTGCCCGATGCAAAGTCAGCTTTGAAGGAAGAGATTGTCTCATCTTGCCGATATCGCGTCAATTCGTTCTTATCTTCTTCTATCAATTTGCAACGTGAAATTATAGAGGACTCACTTAATCGATAATGGGATAGCCTGCAAAAGTCGCTAAAGATACGTAAAAATTAGTGGAACGTTAAAATATTATAGTGCAAATAACACTTGCCGGCTGGCTGCTCGTCTTACATGATAAATAGGAACCGATACCACGTGCTCAGATCGCAGATGCAGATGCTGACCGCTCGTACTCTTCCGAGTGACCGGACGCGACGTAATGCAATCGGGATCTAGATTCAGGCGGGGGTGAGGGTGAAGGAGGCGGTCAGGACATTGCTGATTCTGGACTTGACCGGCAAGTAGACCAGAGCCGGCGCGAATCTCTTCGCCGAGCCGGACTCGGCGCCCGCCTGCATATCCTGCTCCTCGATCAGAAACGGCTGCATGATGCATGTCTTGTCGGGGTTCGAGTTCATGTCCTGCGGCATCGCGTAACAGGCCGGCATCTTCTGTTTGTTCGCCACGTCCTTCAGCGTCTTGCTGAGCTCGGCGATGACGCTCTCCGTCGGGTCGCCGATCGACTTGTGATCCTTCCGCACGTGTTTCTTGATGCGGTTCAGATTCGTCGTCGCGTAGCCGCACTGCGCGCACTTGTACGCACCCTGGGGAGTCACCTGCACCGCGTTCTCGTCCTGCCGCTGGTTTCTCGCGGGCTCGGGGACGCCCCGATCGATTTGCGGACTGCACCTCACACGCTCGTCTTTCGCATCCGCGTCAGCTCTGCCCTTGGCGTCGCTCGTCTTGACGTCGATGTCCGATCGAAAGTTGTTCAGGAGAGGATACTGAAACTGCGTCAACGGAGGAATCTGGTGCTTGGCGAGCAGATGCTGCTGGAGTAGCTCCGGCTGAGGGAAATCGTGCGAGCATATCGGGCACTGCAGCGTTCGGTCGCCCTCGAGAGTTTCGTGATGGCTCGTGTGGGTTCGCTCGTGAAAAAAGAGGAAGGGTAATACGGGAGTCGTGAAGTTGCAGAAGGCGCAGCGATAGTTTTTCAGCTGATGCTCCTCCGAGGAGGAACCGAGCAGATTCGACAACATCTGATTTCCTAAGCTCGTGTAATCGACGGGTTTGACCTGTTGGGTGACTTCAAAGCCGTTGGGGATTTTCAGATTTGACGTTTGCTGCGTGCTCTTCGTCGAAGCAACGTTTCTACCACTACCGACTTTGGATGTCGCTTGATACTGCAGTTCTAATTCGCGCCATTTGTCGGCCCCCGCTTTGCCGTGGTTGCTCATTAAGTGGGCCTTCAGCCATTTGATGCTGCGGAACCTTTGACTGCAGATCGGACACATCTCGGTGAAATATCTATGACTGAGATCGCCCAACTGCTCCGGTTTCAACGTCGTGTCTTCCGCGCTGGGAACGTCGTAGGACTCCTGCTTGTTCGACGCCGATCCGGACGATGTGTTCTCGTCGACGATCCCGTGGGTGTTGTGCTTGTGAACGCGCAGGAAATACTTGCTGCACAGCTCCTTGTTGCAGATGTCGCAGATGACTCCGCCGATTTGCGCGCCGTTTTCGATCTCGATGCCGTGCATCCGTTGCATGTGCGTTTTCATGAAATACTTGTTGCACAGCTCCTTGTTGCAGATCTCGCAGTAGCTCGATGTGGGCGTCAGCGACGTAACCTTCCTCTCCGTCATTGTCGTCGTTTGATTGCTTGGAGTCTGACTGGTGGGCGTCGAGCTGGCGGAGGAGGCGATCACCGTCGGCGGCAATGATGGCAGAGTGACGGCACTGGTTACGATAGGCTGATGTTCCTCGCTGATGTGTCTCCGTAACGCATCTTGGCCAGGATAATCCTTCTCGCAGAGGGTGCAGGAGATAGTCGAAATGGCCGTGGGTGATTTCTGCGGCGAGGCTTCGTCACCGCCGACACCGTGCTCGGTCACCATGTGAACGCGCAGAGCCGACCTCGAATCGCACTCTTTGCCGCAAGCGGCGCAGGACAATCCTTTGCCGGACTCCAAGCCGTTCAGCTGCATGATCATCGTCTGCAGCTTTTGAAGATCCTCCGAGATCGAGTCGGTGCGCTGATCGGAGGGGTCCAGGTCGTATTCTTGTTTCGGCGAGCCGCGTTCATCGGCCTCGTGCATCTTCCTACAATGTGCCTGATACAGATCGGCCGTCTGGAAGCGAATGCCGCAAGGTTTGCACTCGTGCTCCTCGCTGCCATTCCGATCGTTGGATTCCGCACCCGCGGCGGTGGCCTCGGACACGATCAGATTCAACGGGCTGGTCTGCACCTGATGCCAGGTGGTGACGCCCGTGCCGGAATTGCCGGGCGATCTCTCATTGTCCTGCACGATAATGCCGTGTCGTTTCATCTTGTGCGTGCGCAGGAAGTACTTGTTGCAGTACTCCTTGCAGCAGATCTCGCAGAACGCCTCGGGATTTATGACGCCCAGACGGCGCAGGAGATCGGCGCTGAAGCCCGAATCGCGTGCTTGCTGAATGGATTGGGGCGAGAGGTGTCTTGGGGCCGGCATGAAGGTCGCGTCTTCCTGTTCGACGCCGTATTCCTGCTTCAGGAGCGCCTCCATGCCGCCGGGACTGTCACGCGACGTCGCTTGGTCTTCCTCGTTCTGCATTACAGGGATCTGCTGGCCGTCCGACTGTTGGTCTATCGTTGGCGATTCGTTGTGCGTCTTTGGCTTCGATTTTTTCGCCGGATCTTCGATACGGAAACGTTTCTGCGGCGGAGTCGCCGGCGGTTCCAGCTTCACGCTCGGGTTACTACTCGCGTGGAAGTTCGCGGCGCCGAATATACTACCGCCGGTGACGTTGGCGGGATCGACGGTTGGCGCCGGCGAGTCCACGTAGATCCCGTGCTTGTTGGCCTTGTGCGTCTTCAGGAAGTACTTGTTGCAGAATTCCTTGTTGCACATGTCGCAATACGCGTCCGGATTAAAAATCTTGACCGGTACGGGACCGAGGGAGGACCTAGGGAGCTGGGGATCGGCTAGGGGAAAACTCGGCAGGGGTAGGTACTGCGCGAGAGCACCCGGGAAACTCGAGAGCGCCTGCAGATGATTGGTCATCGTGACGATCTGATTGACCGGGCCGCCCGACCACGACGATTCGTCGCTCTGCGTCTGCGATTGCACGTGCTGCTGGCTGCCGGACGCCAGCCACGTGGTGGCGAAGTTCTTAACGCTCAGGAGGCTAACGGACCCGTCGCTGGTCTGGTCCAGCTGCTGCGCCGGCTCTACCTTGATGGCGACACCCGGCGTCGCCTGACCCGCGTCGCCGTGTTCGCAGTTTACGTGGACGCTGAGCGTCTCATCGCTGTCGAAGAGCCGGCCGCAGCGCTGGCAGCGGAACTCATTGTTCAGATTCTCGTCTTTCGACGACGGCGAGTGATGATGGTGGTGGTGATGGAGGTAGTGGTGGTGTTGCTGTTGGTGGTGATGGTCGTTGCTCGGCAACGGCGATCGCGCCGACGGCTTACCTTCGACGTCCTCGTCCTCGTGCTCGTCCTCACGCGCGTCCTCGGCCACGCCGGACGCGAGACCGGACGAGAGTCTTACCGGAGTGGTCTGCTTCCGGCGCTTCTTGGGCCCGGCGTCGGCCAGATCGCCGCGTATGCGCTTCCAAACGTCACGCTCGCCGCAGCTCGAACCGTCGCTGTCCAGCTCCGTCGCCTCCGCCGGCATCGTCGTCGTGGGCACGTGCGACGATGTCATGCTCGGTGAACCTCGCGCGACCAGCCCGCTCTTCCTCAGATGTTGCCCGTCTGGGACAAGGAACAGACAAAGTCTCGCGTTTAAAAAAATTGGGAAAAATCATCTGACAAAGTTTCTCATTCGTGAACGAGAAATCCAGCACGAAACAATTTTCTATAAATCTTGCATATTCCTTTCCTCGATGTTGCTTCAAAATTAGATTCACATTATAAATCAGTAATTATATAAATTATATAAATTATATAAAAAAAGGGCTTGTTTTGTATTAAAAAAAATCCGAGTTGATTATTATTATATTTTTAATAATGAAAAATGTGTGGAAATTCTTGTTTGCTCTTCTTTTCTCAAGTTCGCAAGTCTAAAATATTTATTAATTTTTTACAGAAAAAGTTTGCGATTCCTAATTCCGATCGTATATTATTGCTTCTTTTAATGGAATACTTAATATCCAAAAGTATCATATAAGAACATCGTGACACAATGACGAAGAAATAATTTTTCGTACATATAAATTCCGAATATGCTGTCTCGCGGAGCATCGCGAATACTCGTGGAAGGCGACATTAATTCGGCAGGCAGATCATAATGATTTTGCTCGACTGATCTGAAGGAGAGAAGGTCGGCGGGGTGGGATAAGGGAGAGTTGGGGTCGGGCACCGAGCTAACGAGCACTTCGTGCTGTAGGAAGACGCACGCGAAAGTTGACGAACGAGACATGGTGAATGAGACACCCTCGCGCGATGGACATGCGGTCTCGAAAAAGGGAGACGCGGGATATCGGGTGGATGGGAGGGGGGGGAGGGAAACAGGGTGGACACCCTTCCATGACTCATATTATACGTCCACCCCACGTATTCGGGGAATTTGGAGGATAGTACGAATATGCATTTCAGAAAGCGCGTCGTAATTACTAATTCAGGACGACAGCCTCGTATCGCGACTGTAATGTAAGTGGACGGTACGCGGTCAGTGAACCCTGAACGATATTCTGCCATTGTGTCCGACGGTGCGTGATATACGCGTGAGAAAAATCGCGTGCGTGCCTAAGTTCGAAAACATTTCAACGCAATGATTCCTTATACTTAGGCTCCCTGTTATCGCGCGCATGTCGCTGAGAAAAGGAGAATTGTTGCAGAAATTCATTGACTTTCTACGACGCTTTCGCTTTAATTCAAAATTGTTATAAAAGCGATTTATATTTTTCAGCGATTTTTATTAACTATTTATTAATAAATTATTTTTTAAATCTGGGAATGTTTACGCGAGTATCATTCGCGCAGTTTTTGCTTTTAACAACCAAAGCTACGTGAAATGTCAAAATTATATAATATTTCATATTACATTTTGATATTTATATGATCTTAATTTTATGTGATTCTGATTTTATATTGTCGATTGCAAATGATATTTCATGAAATCCTCACCCGCGGGTTACACAGGTTTTTGTGCTTCGGACGTCTTCGTTTCATGACCGATGAACCGTGGAGATCGCTTCCGCGTCGAAATTTGACACCTCAAGGACCGCACGTCGGCGTCGTTGACGTCATGAGTCACGGACCTCGTCACATCTCTCGCGATTACGAAAACTTCACGACACTTTGCAAAACTTTGAAACAGCGTACAGCCCGTGACAGGATAATCACCTCGTCTTCTGGTCAAGAAACGCCGTTATTGACACGTGGCGTCGCCGAGGGTGACTGAACTGCATGGATCTCGGATGTCACTTAGACCCACCCTCTTCTGCGAGGATATTTCCATCTTCACGTCGTCACCTCTCTCTTGCGCGAAAAGGAGAAGATCGATCGTAGTCTCTGTCTTATTCAATATCGATCTTTACCGAATCGATAAGGCCCGCGAAGAGGCACAAAATTTGTGATAGCAAAACTGATCCATGGTAAGATAATGTGAGAGAGCACGAGAGACAGATGCGATGAGAGAAATGACGGCTTGAAAACTTGTGAACTTTTAATTAAGAAATCAGGTACTCGCGTGTCTGATTTCCGCGGTCCTCGATCGCGTACGTCCCTTTGGATTCTGCCAAGGTTACTGTTAGGTATGGCCGCGATGCCCTATGAGGGGTCTGTCACGCTGTTTTCACGTCCCTACCACCTTTGAAGACCGATACAAATATCCCCACCCCTCCGTCATCCCCGCGTTTTGCCGCATTCTGCGGGTAGATGATTTCCGGATTCATCTGAGCGCGCCAATTAGAACGTGGAATGGCAATGTTAGGCATGGAAATATTATTTTAAGAAAAATTTATATCGCATTTTGCATGACGCAGCGTTAAGATCCTTATGCCAAAAATTTCGTTCTATTAATATATGGCATTAACGATCATTTTTATAATTATTATCATCATTATTAAAAATTTGCAGAAAAAGTTCTTCGTAATAATAGATATGGAAGTAAAGCAGATAATGATCGTGTTCTTTTAATTCTTAGTTCATTGAAATGGAGATGTTTTTTTGATGACGCAGAGGTATATGCGAGCAGAAGAGTATTCCTTCCGGTTTTATCTTTATGCGGTGTATCGTCTTACAATTTGCGTATAAGAAGAATTGCTTATTGCTGCCGGATAAGACTAGGCACTGTTAATAAACCGACGATACATTGTCAGCTGTTTAAGCAGGTGATTCGAAAACACGATTTAGCAAGCAATCACTAGATCGATTAGCGATCAAATCTGATATAATAAGGAATATTTGGAGATTATTTGAAATATTTGTAAAGAAATTAAGTAATGTATTTATTTTCATATATTCTTTCGCATTGTAATTTAATTGTTTATCCAAATTTAATATTTGATATACAGTTAAAATCTATTTTTGAACTTTCAATTAGAGCAAGTCATTCATATACTCTTTTAGTATATTAATTTTAAAAAAATCAAAACATGTTGTGAACATTATATTATTTTCTCTCTTCTCTTCTTGTTTTATCGCAATTTTTATATTTATATAAATTCAATTATTAATATTTAAGATTACTCTTTAATTTTCACAATTTTATTATAAAATGCATCTCTTTTACAGATTTATTTTCAATTATTCAAAATGCAATGTACTGAATTTACATAACGACCGTTTCGCGGAGTTGTTTTGCGCTCTTGATTTATCTAAAAAGAACAGCGGTCATTATTCGCAGTTGGTGCATGTGCGCGTGTCGGCAGAACGGAAATTGGATTATGCGAGGGTTGTAAAGCAATCGCTGACGCACGTCAGAGCGTGAGATAGGTAGAGATAAAGGCTGAGGGGAGACCGGGGAGTTTCGCGGAACCAGTATTTTTCTCTGCGCAACCTTTGACAGATTTTCCAAAAATACGCGTAAATACGCCCGTATGTTCGCACGAGGGCAGGAAACTCCGACATTGTGGAAACTCGCCGTCAAAATTGGATGAATGATAGAGAAGGGCGATGATCCGACCCTACAGGGTCCGTTCGCCGTTCGCGAAAGGGTGTTGAGCAAAAACACGTCAGAATTATCAGGGAGAAAGAGGGTAAAAGGAGTTGAGAGAGTTGAGAGAGTTGAGAGTGAAAGGAGGAAAAAAGGCACTGAAAGAAGGAGCATTGTAATATTATACATATATACATATATATATATATGTGTGTGTGTGTGTGTGTGTGTGTGTGTGTGTGTGTGTGTGTGTGTGTGTCTATATATCAATACATGTGTATCTCTCCACGTATACGTGTAAAAATATATATATATATATGCACATACACACAGTCATGTATATCTCCTGATTATTGTTAATTGCTATATGTGCCATACCTGGAATCTATTGTCTCTATCTCCCTTCTTTATATAATTGTCGTATTATACTAATGTAGTTCTCTGTTCTGCAAGTACTGTTACGAAAAATTTCTTACGGCTTTTAAACCAATATTTCTAGAAGATATTTTTTAGAAAGATTTTTTTTTTTTTTAATTCACTTTTAAAGCAAACAAATAATCTTCGTAATGCGTTAATTATTATTTAGATTTTTATAGATTTTCGTAATAACAAAATACTTTAAATATTACGATTAATGATAAAATATGACTATTAATGCTTTTTAAATATTGTATTATTTAAATTAATATTTAAATATTATTCTTGAGATTAATTTTCTTATATAAACTTTACGAAAGTAAATTTTCTTGGCAATATTAGAAGCGTGAATTTTACGAAACAAAATATAAAAAAGAATCTTATTTTCGCGATATTATGTTATTATCTGCTGAATATGACACATTACGTTTTTACATGAGTTTTATATGAGTTAAAAGTGGCAGTACTTATGGAAGAGTAATATAATAATGTACATATAAATATATACATATATATATATATCTATAGATCTAGAGAAATATCGAGGCTCTCTACAGATCGACAGCCCCTCGAGTTGTGTCTTTGTACAGATATATCCAAATGTCTTGATCCGTCGAGGAGTTGAAGGAATGCAGTAATACGTCGATCTCGTCT